CGATGCTCCTACCGCCCATTTAATATTCAGATATCCAAACGAGCTCCATCATGTTTCAGAAAAATATAAATTGATTACAAACATGCTGGACCTGGTGGGGGTAGAACCCACGAACCGTTCGTTATTTGCCATACGTTGCCATTAGACCAATGTGCCAGTCAAAAATTTCACTGATCGTTTTAATTTACAGCAAAGAGTGAAGTCAATCAGACTTCTAATCGAAACTTAATTGTTCGAGATTTGAACCTAGAACCTTTCGGCTAGGATCTTGAGTCGCTTTTTCAATTCAAAATTTTCGACAGAAATCATAACTAATAGTGTTTCCAGTATAATCATATATTCCTTGGAACTTTAGACTTGTACAAATGTGTTCCCACGGCCTCCTCAAAAGTACCGTAGCTCGCTGGTGACTACTAGATACTAGTCATTTTGGTCAACTATCGCCTCCGAGGAGGGTGCAGTATTTTTTTTTGGCAGTGCGATTTACCACCACTCCCCACGTCAATATTGCCCGAAGTGGCGCACGCCCACTTCGGGCAATATTGACTTGACTTGTATTTACATTTACATAAAAAAAGAGTAATTGTACATAGTAAGACCTTTACCCCCTTTTTAAGTAACCCAACAGGGGCCAGATTTGGATCTCCTTATCTATACTAATATATAAAGCTGTAGAGTTGTTTTGTATGTTTGAACGCGCTAATCTCAGGAACTATCGGTTCGAATTGAAAAATTCTTAACTTGCAAGAACGACGGGACGCGAACGACGCAACATCGTGAATAACAGCAATTTGGACTTTCCAAAATAACTCTTCTACGCTGACACAGCTAGTAGATTATAAAAACACACAATCAGTTTTGCAATTATACATACAATTTTACCTATTGTTTGTTTGATGCTTAGGGAACCCTAAATATAGATCAAAGAGGGATTACCAGGCTGTCAGGCCGGGTCTTCATCAATATTAATAGAAGACCCTCTGTAAAGCGGAAAATCATTTAATAGAATTTCGATTAATAAGCACCCAATTTATCGGCTATTGAAGTGTAATTACGCTTAAATTATTTCAATGAAGCTCAATTTATTCTCTCTCCGTATTTATCACCTTTTTGAAGTCGTAATTGGGTTTTCAGCATATTTTTAAAAGGACAGAAAAGTCTCACTTGATTGAAGGTGAAATATCTATATGCAACATCTAAAAAAAACATTGGCTATGGACATTTTAACGGCTTAAAACGCGATATTTATCACTTATTGTAGTTAGTACTTATTTACAAATAATTCTAACTAACACCCGAACTTTCGGATGCTTTACAGCAGCCGTGGGCACGGGGAGACCTGTTCGCGTTTCAGAATTAGTCTGTGGACCGGATTGAAAATGCTTCAAAGTGTAATCTAAATGATCACACTTTGAAGCATTTTTATCTGTGGACGGTGGTGACCAGGCCCGAATTGTAATATTCCTCAGATTTTCCACAACGAATTTGTTTTTAGACCGGCACGGAGATGACTTGAACCGGCATCCAAAGCATTCGTGCTACTATTATCTATGGTTTTGCCTGTAAATAACATTGATCAGCAAAACAGACACAAATATATGACCATGAATGAAGAAAATTTTCCCTTACTCTTAACATATAAATATTCTTTACATAACAAAACATTCTCCATTCAATGACGTCATCGCTACAAATATAAATTGAAGCATTTATCTTACCTTCTATGAAGTAAACAATACTTCAAGGAGATAATAATTAAAACAATAAAAATATTACGCTTAGAAACGATCGTTTAAAGTGCTTTATATATCTAAAGACTACTTAAAACTATTATGAATAACATTTGTTTCCGCGAGTGGTATTAGATAAAACACTTTAAACGTTTTAAAACGCTAAACGCATCTAGCAAGCAACAAAAATGTCGTACCATAGTTATGAAAAATATCTAATATATATTCCATTTGAAACTGTTGACAGTGTTATATAAAATAATTGATATAATATATAGTAATACTTGTCTATAATCCGAATTTGAACAGTACCCGATGATAAGATAACCTAGTTACTTATAAAATTCAAGTATTTTTTGATAGGGACAAGGAGGAGGACAATCTCAATAGAGGAGGACAGACAAGCATGGGGGGCAGACAAGCAGCCTATAGCATCTAAACAAGATCTTCGAAGATAGTCGACCTATTCTGGCTTTGGATATTCGGAAATCCACAGACTGAAATCGAAACGCGATTAAACGTCACGGGGTTTTTAGTGGTCGGTGGTTTGTGAGACGGATTAAATATCTAGACAAATCCAACAAGTGTCCAATATGTGTCATTAAAAATTTATTAGAAATATCTCGATGGGGATTCCATCCATTGATCAGCTATACATTGCTACTATTAGATCAGCGAGCCTGTCAACTTTATCTGAGTGACCTTGACAATGGTATATTCACCGCGACAAATCGCTTCGTTCTACCGCTTGCTTGATTTTACGAGGGCATTTATAATGTCAGTCATAAGACGCAATTTCACAGAATGTGTGGGTACAATTCTTGAAACAGTAGTTTTTTTTTATTTCGTAAATGAGATACTGTCTGTAGTTGACGCGAGTAGTACTCGTTTAAATTAATTTATATTTTTGTGTCAACAAACAAGCGCCATATAATATCTAAACGAGATGCGCTGTCCATATATTTTGGCTTTGGATAATTGGAAATCCACAAACTGAAACCGGAAAGCGATTAAACTTGATGGCTTTTCCATGTAATGTGACGAGGACGGAATTTTGATACTTCTACCGCCCATTCAATATCCAGATGTCCAGACGAAGTCCAGTTAGGGCACAGTCTGATCAACTACTTGCCTGTTAAAGAGCGGATCAGTGAAACGGACACAGCAATGTGTTTGCCCCATGCCCCAGGAGGGGGAAACGGTATTTCGCACACACCAGACGAAGTCCAACACGTTGTAGAAAAACTATAAATTGATTTTAAAAATCTGTTGGACCCCTTGGATCGAATTCATGGGTCGAACGTTGAATAAGATGTACCTACTTCGAAAACTTGAACGGGGAAGTCTTTATTCCGATTGTGTGTTACATTGCTATTAAACATAAAAGTCGTTACGATAATTTGCTCTATTAATCGCACGTCGACTCGTGATCGGGTCGTTACATTTAAGAGGCTTCCGTAAATTACCATAAGACTGTATCTTATGAAAAATATAAGCTGTACAATAAGCGATGGCTGATGTTTGTCACAGTGGCGTTCAACTTGTTTATTTGATACCGTGGGATTATGATTGGATTAAAATTCATGGTTATACGTCTACAAGGTTTTTATTATACTTAGTTTTAAAAAGCACTTTTTGTCTATAAAACGGATGAAAGTCGTTGAAAATCAATTAACAAATATAGTTTGCGTTTTAAACCGCTAACTATATTGATATATATTTTTACTGTTCTCAAGCAAAAATTAAATTTCTTAGTAACATACATTAAGCAATATTTATTTTATTTTTCCTCAATTAAATTTGTCTAACGTTTTAACAGTTTATCAAATAAACGATGTGTTTTGCAATAATTAATGTAATGTTTTTTTTTCATTTATCGACAGTCAGATAAATGAAAAAAAAAACAATGATATAACGGGTACCACTCGCGCATACTAAATATACAACTTATGATAGACGATATATCACTTTCTATTCACGGTGATTTTTCATGAACACAAAGCACCAACCCGGCGTTTGAACCCCCGACTATTTTCCTTAAAGTTAAAAACAAAATAATGTACCCAACTATGTTCTTAATAATTTATTTTTTTCTAATGATATGTCTTTTAAATTAAAAATATATCTACCGACCCATTCTATTTTTCCTTTCCTTCGGATTGTCTCGAAAAGCGATGCCCCTTTTCCGAAAAACATGCGTCATTTGACACCAAATTAGGGGGTGAAAATGGGTGTGATTTTCAACCACTTTCGACATATTGACATAAGTGCTTATCACTCCGCGATTAAAATAAACGGAATTGGAAGCGATGGATTTGAGACTGTATTGCGTTGAGTTACAGTTCATATTCTATTGATTGGAAAGTTCGGTTTATTCAGGGTTGTTAAAACAACACTACCGTCCCCTTACGAAGTGGTGCTATAATTAAATAAAATGTTGAATGATAAACTGTTTTGATGAGAGGATAGACTGCAGCTTTTAGATGTATTGGAGGAACATAGGGTACTTGAACAGAATTTAAAGATTTATTTGACAGAGGACAAATTTCAATAAAACATTATAATTATCTTAATTTTATTTAGCATTGCGAAGTTTTGGATGCTTCGCAGCTGCCGTGGTCACGGGGGGACAAAACTGACTCATACTCAGTAAAAAAAATAAAAATTAAATGTTAAGTATAACGGGGACACTAATCAGCTTAGTTGTACCTGGAAGTTGGCCGAACGCTAAATTTTCAGTGATGCCCCACGCTTGACATTTTTATATTTGTAAATACAATTTAAAATAAAACACTTTTAACGGCTTAAAACGCGAAATATGTTGTTTAACGTATCTTTTATTTGTTATATCGTACGATTAGACGTGCAGTAGCCGTTGACACCAGGGGGGGGGGGGGTTCGACCGAAGCATTCGGGACGTCGAGCCGTACTTCAAATCAAAAGTTTAATTTGTAAAAAGTAATCTCTTTAAAACTGAGACTGAAATAAGAAATACTAAAATACAACACCTTCAAATAAAGCTATACATATAGTAAATACAACAAAACAAAGATACATCAAAAAGTGGCTATTTCCTACTTTTCGACTATTTAAATACAAAGTATGATCTATTGCAAGTAAGAATACATTTATTCCATAGAATTCTTAGTCTGTTCACGTATTCAGACAAAACAAAACACTTTGAAACTATTATGTGTTAAGTAGCGTTACAAAATTGGGAGTATAAAAGACGAATGTGTATTTTTAAATTTATAAAATATTAAGAACAATATGTTAAGACGAACGTTTGTACTTACTTGTACGATATTGGTGAGTTTCTGTGTATTTAATATTGTTAACACTTTATATAAAAAACTTGTAACGGTTTGAAACGCGAAATTCATAAGAAATTTATTTTAATAACTGATACATACCGAAAAGGCTCAAAGCTAGTTTTTCCACATACTATCTATGAGGTAACAGAAATGATTTTGAAAATTAGAAAATCTACCATCTTCAGTCCCCATGTGATCACGGCTGCTGCAAAGCATGTGAAACGTCGGACTGTAGTTAAAATAAATTGTAAATAAGTTAACTATTAGATATCGCGTTTAAACCCGTTAAAATGTTTTGTCTAGATGTCTACTACTAGCGTACTGCACACGGTACATATTGTCATTTTTTTTTCAGGTTTTATCGCTACTGCTTGAAGAAAATGGTAAGAGAAAATGGTTTCTACTTTTTTGGGTTCAAATTTATCATATTAGGGTCGTTTAACTCATTATTTTACTATACACAAAGGGAAATCAAAATTAAGCGTAAACAATGTCTTTATCCGGGAATTACGGACATTTACTGATTAAAGGACGAGGAAAAAATTAATTACTTAATTAGACATTTAAGTTTTGATTGTGACAGTTTTGTTAAATCCACGCTCCGAGCTGCAAGGATCGCTGTGGATGCCGCTTCAATTCCTGCCTGTGCCGTAAAATCACTATAAAAAATATATTTTTACGTACCTATATAATATTAGTACTTAAGAAAAGGAGAAATGGACCTAACTCATTCTCCTTTTAGAAAGCCTAGTTTATTCCTAAATACCCATCTTATAGTATTAAAACATAGTTTTGTAACAAAATAATTTTTATTTGTATATCGTTTACAAAGAAGAACGACCTAGGTGTCGCGTTGCGCCATCTAGTAGTTGTCGGGTAACATAATATGTACACTAGTAACTAATTTTTAAATATATTTTTAAGCTGTTGCGCAACACAGTTACATCAATAATATTAACTAATGAATATTTCAGGGGCGAAAGAATCCGAGCCTTGTTCCGATATTATGACATTGATAAAGAAAATCATAAAACCAAAATGCCCCGACGATACATCAGAAGAAGTTACAACGAAAAAACCAAAAACAAAGAAATTTGAAGAACGTATGGAAAAGTGTGAGTAATGTCTCTTGATTTAATATTTTTAGCCTTTCCCACGGCTGGGACACGTCCATGCTTCTCCATTTCAACGTGGGACCTTTCTCACATAGGCCTTAAATTAATACAGACACAATAATTATTTACTTTTACGTTACTTCTACTTAAAACATTATTTTCGTTTCATTTGAAGCAAAATCACTATTATATATGATAATGCCTATTATATAAACGTGCGGAATACTGTTCCATTGTCGTGGGTTCGAGTCCCATTTGTGTCGTATAATACATTTTATATCTACGTTTTAATAAGTACCGTACACTTTCAAGCGGCTCTGTAGCCAAATGGTTAAATAAACATGTTGATTTTTCGAATCCGGGAGAAAACAATAGTAATAGTGTGTTTCTGTCGGGAAGGGCATAAAAGTCTGATCAACTTGCCTTTAAATAAAACACTTTAACGGTTTTAAACGCGATATATATTAGCTTCGACCAGTTTCGCCAAATATCAACTTCGACAGAACAGCTGGCAGCAACGTAGCAATTTTTACGTTGACGTCAGACATCCTCCATCTTTAGTCTCCCCATGACAACGGCTGTTGCAAAGCATCCGAAACGTCGGGCCGAAGTTAAAAATAATTTTCTAATAAGTTTAACTAATATATATCGCGTTTTAAACCGTTAAAATGTTTTATTGAAATGTTTACTACTCGCGTAAACTACAGACAGTATTTAATCACTTGCCAATAAAACAGATCAGTAAAACGGACACAGAAATGTGTTCGCCCCATGCCCCACGGGCGGAAGCCAGCTTTCACAAAAAAATTATTATGTTTTAATAACATTGTATGCTTTACTCAAACGCCAGAATGCTTATAAAGGTGTTTTCACTAAACCAAAATAATTCAGCAACATGAAAATGAGGTTGTGAAAATCCTTTAAGGAAATGGGAACAAGGATTCTTTTGTTGGCTCAGCTTTAATAATTCCGAAATGAAAGCCGCCGTGTGTTCCTTTACCATACGAAAACCGTTCTTTATGACGAGGCACAAAAAAGTGGGTTACCTACATTTTTAATTCGACGTCATAATTACTGCTTATTGAAGAAATACATAATGAGTTATATTAATTGCTACCTCTATGTTCTTCGTTAAGACGCAGATTCGGGATCTATAAATATCCATGGACTCAAATAATTTTGGTCGAGTGGATTCGGAACATTTATGTCTGTTTGGAACGGCTGTAAATAAAACCGTTCAAAACAAACAAATGAGTTCCCCATATTCCCCTCCTGTATTAATAAATTTATATTTTTTTTCAGATTTTGAAGAGAAATGTAAGTATGACATTTTATACAAGTATATGATCCTTTTTATTACATTGTTTTAGCTTATTAAAGTTGCATTCTTGGTTGCTGGATTATTATTGAATATTAAACCACAACTGACAATCGAACTCTCTAGCTTTTAGATCAATATGGATAATTTTCCCATTTTACACAGTTTTCACTGGTTACATTCTAATGTTTTATAGTCTTTCTCGATAAATGCTGCAACTAATTCAAAAATTATTGAAACCAGTAGTTTCTGAGGTTATTGCAGTCAAACAAATACATTTTAGCTTTATAATATTAGTATGGATAAATAATACATGATAAGTATTTTCTGGTTCGTTTTTCCAGTCCCCTGGTGGCCGAAAAACATGATTGAAGATTTAGAAGCAACAGAGAAACCAACAACCAAAGCGCCCCTAGATGCTCTGGTCACGAGTTACGTGGACTTTTTGAATAATTTGTTTAAGATATTTTAATTAGACTATAAATATGTACTTAATATTTACTTTGTAAACTTATTTTTCCTGTGGATGTCCTCTAGTGTAGATCAGTGAACGGAGTGTAGTAACTTTGAAATTCATACATCTAGCGCCCATTATATTTTAGACAAACAAAAAAAAATACCAACTACGACGAAACAGATGGCGCTAGTATAGCAGTTTTTACTTTGACGTGAGGGACGCCCTACATGGGTGCAGCACAGTTGGGCCGTAATTAAAACAAGTTGACTAATATACTTATTATACGTTTTTAATCTTTGGAATGTCGATTATTTAGTGAACAAGCTACCCCCCACATGAAAACTTGTAAACTATAGAGTAAAAATTATCTCCGGAACCTGAAACCATGGTCCAAGAATAATAAAAGACACACAATGTTATATATTAATTTAATCAGACTCATTTCACAACAAAACATAACATACATCACGACTCACACCCGCTCGCACACGACACACAGTGTCGCGAATTAAATCTGACTTCGCTGATACCACACAAATATCACAATCTAGCAAATACCTATTGACATCAAACCTTATTAAAAATGTATTAAAATCAGCGAGCAAAATTAATAATGCATTTCCTCATTTACAGATCAGACATGCGTCAAGGTATGGCAGCTGTCAATTGTCAATCTAGGTTAAAAGAGTCTGCCCGTTTAGAAATCATTTGGAAAATAATTCGGATTAACAATATTATTATTATCTGTATACACTTGACCATAGATATTTGAAACTAGACGACCACAGATAACGCAACTACACTTATTGCTATTTGTGTGTATAGCTCTATATACATAAAAAATCAGTACATTCCAGGCGTTTGCGCGCCTCAGGGAATATTTCGAGTGTCACACGGTGCTGTTTTAAATACAAATATATTGGATTGCGCACGCCGCAATTGTGGAACCGGAGCGTGGCTGCCACGCTTATATACCCGTTGGTATTCAAAGTCTTTGCACTACACTACTCTTACAGCTCGTCGTGCTCCTCCTGTAAAAAAAATAAATTCTGTTAAAACTACAACGTTAAATAAAATTATTCCGTATCTACTTTCCTTATCACGATTAAAAGCTTTATTATAGAAATAATAAAAAATATATTTTTTTTAATGTTACGCGTAACTTCGCACGGCTTTACTAGTTTTACTTTAATAATTTACGTACCACGGGCGCGCCTTCTCCAGCCTCATCATCCAGATCCTCGTCATCCTCCTCCTCTGGCTTTTCAGCCTTCTCCTTTTCCCTCTCAGCTTCGTCTTGCTCGTTCTTCATCTTCTTCTCTCCCTCAATCTTCTTCTTGATCTCTTCTCCTCTCTCCTTGGCCACTTCTAGGTCATCCGTGAATAGGAAGTTGTCGAAGATAGTGCCAGACTTGACCTGCCATAAGTCGAGACCCACTGAGCAAAGCTCGTCACGCTTGTAGAGGATTGGGTCAGCTGTGTATTCGGGGTTATCGATCTCTGGGTGTACCCATGGGCCCTTGTATGCTGGATTGTCGATCTGAAGTAGAAGAAACAATCGTTTAGATAAGGTAGAACAGAATTTATAAACTAGATTTAGTTTTGGGTTATATAGAGATATAGAAATACAAATCAATATTCAATACTGTCTGTAGTTTACGCCATCAATAAATTTAAATAAAACTTAACGGTTTAAAACGCGAAATTACTCGGGAGTGGGAACGAGAATGATATCCGTGATCCCAGCTTGCTGCAAAGCATCCGAAACGTGCGGCCGTGGTAAAATAATTTGACACAATTTACGTTTTAAACCGTTAAATGTGTTTTAATTGAATCACTTTTCATAATATTTCACGAGCGGGTTCAAGTCCCGCTTGTGAAATATTATAAAAGTTATTATTTATTAGGACTATTTTCGCTTATTCATCAAAATGATGAAATTTCAGAATTAGATGTACTACAAACTTTTTGAAAGGTTGTTCGCAAAAGTAATTTTCCCTCGTCAAGTTACTGTGAAATACTAAATATAAAAAAAAGTGGATACATAACGTTAATAAACCTCTGAATCACATTTTAAAACAGTGAAAAATATAATACATATAGATAAGTAGATTTCAAGTCAAAACTTTGTCTAGTGACGTACTAACAAGTGCTAATAATACTAACGACGAATTGGTCGTGGAAGTAACGGTGAGGGTTCAATGACCCAGACAACACAATGACAAGTACTTTTCCGTTTTATGAAAGTGAGCAAAAAACTTAAATGTATTTCTGAAGGTAAATGACATTACTGGGCCTAGTGGATTTCTTAGACTAGCACGAAACACTGTGGATGCCGGTTCAAGTCCTTGTAAAAATGTATTCAATCTAAAATCGATTTCTACGCTATGTAGTTTTTCACCTTTGTTACAGAAAAGTGAGTAGGTATAGCGGCACATGCATGAAAATTTAATATACAACAAATTAACACCGTGAAAATGGAATTCAAACATTCTTAGAATTGAGCTTAGTTATATACTACAAAAAAAAAACAATGGGTAATTAGAAAAATTCTAATGAAAATTAAAATTAATATCTTTTAGAGACACAGATTTTTTTTTATGTTGAGGACTAAAACTTCTTCCACAGGGTTTAGCCATTATAAATCAAACTTCAATGAAACTGACCTGTTTAGGTGCCCAAACACCCTTGTATTCAGGGTTGTCGATCATTGGTGGTTCCCATTCACCGTCCATCTCATCATCCCAGTCTTCGGGCTTGGTGGCATCAGGGTCGGGGATGTGTTCGGGCTTGTCCCAGTCCTCGGGTTTCTTGTCTTCTGGGTCTGGGATGGTGGCTCTGTCGTCCCAGTCTTCGGGTTTCTTGGCTGATGGGTCCTAATTAATAATAAAAAGAACTGATATAAGAAAAATATTGGAATAATAAATTTTTTTAACTATATTTTGCGTTTTAAATCGTTAAGTTTTTATTTAAACAGACTACATTATTCTTATAAAATACACAAACTTGTAGTAAAACAAACATGTATTTCTTAAAAGCACACTCTAAAAAAAGATAAACTATACATTAAAGATATCTTATCATAATTAACATAATGTACCCCAAGGCCTAAAGCTTGGGTCTCTTACCTTGATCTTCTTTGGTGGAAGGAAGTCCCAGTCATCCTCTAAGCTGCCAGACTCAACCTTCTCATTGTCAATGAGCACCTCGTATGTATTGTCGGGTTTTACAACCAGGGTGTACAAGTGGGTGTAAACATCGTCCTTGCAACGAATGTCCTTCTTGATTAGATGGTTCTTGCCCTTGTAGCTGAAGATTACGTGCACCTGGAACAAGAAAGTGACTTAAATCATCAGCGCTTAAGACTTGAGATGTGCATGGTGTTGGTCTGATCAGATCGGACAAGTAAAAGAGAACGAAAAAACTAACAACTATACTACACATTAATTAGCCGCCATTTTAGGGTTTAAATAAGTTTTCGCGTTTCGAATCGTTAAAGTGGTTTGGCAGTAGTAAAATTAGGTCAAACACATTAATAAAAAGTGTTTCAAACGGAATTACTTATGTTATAATATTCAGTAAAATGAGATAAGATAGAAAAGTACCGATAATATTTACTATCTACTTTTATTGATGCAACATTTACTGATAGCCCGTTAACACAACTGCAATTATACAACATAAAAAAGTAGAACAAGTAATTTTTAATGAAAATTATGTAAAAAACTAATTACTAGCTTTCACTAAGATTACGAAATAAAAAATTTTCGGCTACAAAGTTGTGTAATGCTTCTGTAAACTTTCCGAATGGTAACAAAAATAGGTCGACAGCGCAATCGAGTTTGAAATATCCTTAAAATTTGAATAACATATTTCAGGCTTTCAGTAATTTCCGATAGCTTGTATATTTAGTGCAATGATAAGCCAAGGATCAATATTCAATTAACGAGTTCAATAATTATTGGGTGTGTAAATAGATAACGAACTACTAATACTGTGTATATTAAAAAAAAAACAATTTATTTAAACTCTACAGCCATATTAATTCAGGTACTTTTCAGTATGAAAGCAATACTTGTATCCGGTAACTATGCTTTCAAATACACTATAATAGATATAATTATCCGCAAACAAACTATAGCACATAAAATCAATGACCAAATGACATGCAACGCTACATAAAAGGGTTTTCAAGGTGAGCTCGTAATTGTAACTGATAATGTTGAAAGTTGTAAATGTATACTTTTTTTATAAATGACAAACCAATAATTAACAATACCGCCTCAGAACAACAATTTACACCTACCAAACAAGATTTTGAAATCATCTCAATCTTACCTTCTTGGTACCAGGACCACAGATGTCCGGACCGAACATAATTTCATATGGGGTCTCTCCGTGCATGTCCTTAGAGTCCAATTTGCAGTCGAACACCTTCAAGTAGCCACCACCACAGTCAATGTCTTGCTCATGCTTAACAGAGAACTGGATAATGAGGGGTTTGCCTTCGTTGGAGAATGGCTTGAATTTGGTTGATAAGGCGTAGAACCTGGCATCTTCAGATGTCTGCAAACCTAGTAGATACATATACAGTTGAGTACATTTTATCTGTTTGAAGGTAGATTTAGTATACAGTGAAGTCTTTACATTACATTAAAAGACAATACTTTAAAATATTCTATTGTTTATATTCAGAACAAAAGATATATTATGTCTGTCTTTACAGAGAGTATTCAATACCTCTAACTAACTCTATTATTTAACTGTTGAATTTGATAATAATATTAAGTTCTTATATACCTAGGACTATCAATTCTTATTGCATATTAGGTCTAAAAATAGTAAGATTGTCAAATTAGGAATCTGACAAACGACCAGACATTATAAAAGATGTAATCATTCAATATTCAGAACTGTACTTTGTTAAAAAAACCAGAGCATCAGAAAGTGACTCCATATAGTTGGTTAAGGGACATAGAGACACACCTATTGAGGTACACATTTATATGTTAGTAGAATGATATTAATCGGATTATAATGATACTCTGTATTCAATGTTCGATGGTAGGTGGTTAATCCAATTAAGTTTTCGTTACTTTAATCAGTCAATTAATTTCGTATACGTGGTTTGGAAAGTACCTTTATCTTCTTCTGGATCGTTGTAGAACTTTCCAGCGGTCAACTTGAACTTGCCAAATTCCTTGCCGGGATGCTCACTGTACACCCAGTTCGATTCCCAGGAATCTGAAATAGACACAATTGCATTAATTCTCAAATGCTAGCCGGCCCGCGATCAATGACTACTTGCGACACGCGGACCGGTATTTCTGTTTTCCGGCGAAACAATATTAATGTAAACATTTTACTTACCATCTAAGAACTTCTCTTCGAAGTACACTTCACAATTTGCTGAATAAATAGCCAGCAAGCTGACTAAACCTAATAAAAACGTTTTCATTTTGACTGTCACAGCCGACCGCACTCGTGCAAAATCTAGCCACGAATAAGCATAAAATTGTAGCGACGCTCTATTATTTAATTTTGACCGGTGGTTACGTTGTAAATTTACTATCTCTTTCTGTCTTTTGAATACGCTATATGTGGGATTGAAATAGCGAATACTAGAATATGCGATTACAAAATAGTAAACAGAGATAGCCATATACAATGTTTTAAAGCGAGATAAGGAAGGATGAAACACAACTTAATTATGTGACGTTGCATTACGCAGACAGATGGAAAGTTCTCATTGGATTACATGGACCAATGAGAATTGAACACACCGCTTTTGTTAATGGCGGTAAAATTTAAAAGTTGGTTTCGTTTTTATGACACCTTTTAATTAATTCTAACTTTCTTTTCAAAATTACAATTTAAGAAGCTCAGATATGTATAAATGCGTTTTTTGAAATCTATTTAGTCTATATGGAATAGATGTCTTTAGTTTTAGACACATTACAAGAATCTTGTCAGATCAAAATAAAAATGCACCTCCGCTAAACCAATGGGAGATGTACGTGGCACGCAAACGAAACAAAAATATACAAAGGAACGTGTTGAAGAGAGACGCAAGATATTTCTACGTGTTTGAAATTTGGAATTTTTGTCATAAGAAGAATGGCTATTTATTTAGGTGGTTTTTTAATAAGTTCATTACGATGGCTAACAATGACATAATAGCCTGTTCAATTGAAACTTAATAAATTTATTAGGAGAAAATTTCCTACTATTTACTTTTATTTCTAGGACTCCTTAAGGGTATACAGTTGGTATCATCTACTTAAAATTAGTGACATTGAAGCGTTACTTAAATAAAACCATTACATGGTAATTCTAGAACAATAGGAAAGATAATTTGACTTTAATAATTAACCACTTCATGTGTAAACGTATTATCAGATTTAAAAAAATGTGAAAATATTCCTATTTAAATTGTCGTTTTATACTTACTGATATATTTTCTAGTACTGAAAGACAGTGTTGCCTGGTTCGAGTAAAATGTTACTGCACTATTTTTCAATACCACCCCAAATGAAAATAGGAGATGCCATTACCTCTGAGCTTAGAAGTGTCTGTTGAGTCGTCGGTCCCAGTTAATACCGTTTTAGTGGTGGAAGCTGCCAAATAGCGTTGGAACGAGGTGGGTATAAGCTCTTAAATCCTCTCGAGAGTTTTGTGCCTAGCAGAAGGACGCTACGTTATAACTGTTCTATGTTATTTTATAAAAATATACTTATTTTGAAGGGTTGGTTAGCGTGTAACGGGTTTAAAATCGATCCCCATCGGGTTTCCCATTCCATGTCTCTGTCCAGACATTTTGAAACTTAGTAAATAGGTAGGGATATAGAAATTCGGTCTTGATCACGAACCGAACAAAGTCGACAGCTTGTTTACACAATAAAAATGCTTAGGTGAGGAGGAACCAGCTCTAATAAGAAAAAATATGTGTTGCACTTAAATTAAGTACGTGAAGACTGTAAAATGAAACTTGGCGATAAAACGAGTGACGGCGAGATTATTGCCAGTTCTTCTCGTTCGTTCGACGCCCTTGATTTGAGAACTGGTAGTGAATGTAAAGTTAGAGTTTAGTTCGACGTTCTTATGTGTACCTAGTTACATGAATAAATGATGTTCGAAAACTTTATTATTTAAATACTGTCTATAGTTTACGCGAGTAGTACACATTTAAATAAAACACGTTAACGGTTTAAATTGCGTTTTAAATCCGTAAAGTGTTTTATTTAAACTTTATTGTTTTTTTACATGTTATTGCACCTATATAATTTAAAAATCGAAAATTTGACGATGAGCTGTAGGACTAGGTAGCTCGATTGGCAGAGCAACAGCACGGAACGCTAATGATGCCGGTTTAAGTCCTGCCCGAGTCGAAAATTTTTTCAATTTATTTTCGATTTTTAAATTAAATAAATGATTTTTGAGTTTGACTTTGACTTAGCTTGTCCTCTCGTATCATAAAAAAAAAACAACATTTGAGAAATATTTGTTATATTTCGTTACAACTTATACTACATAGGAAAATCCTCTTTGAAACTATAATCATCGTTCTTCATTGTAGTCAGAGTGACATTCTCCAAAACATCAGCCAACTCAACGGCTTTCTTCTCACTCTTGACTCTTTTCTTTTTGTCCTTCTTGAATTGCATCTTCCTCAACTTGTTCTGCTTGGTGTTGCCCTCTATTAACATTTCCGGGTCCTTCTTGGTGCGTTCGTTTTTGTCTGTTTTGTCCAGTTTCGGGCGGATGTTGACCGATTTGGGTAAAAGGGTTGTGTCGTCGTCGACTTGCATTTCGTCTAGTGCAGATACGGGGCCAGTGCTTGTTATCTATGAGGAATTTTATATTATTAATATTTATAAAAATATAATTTCATCAAGTGTAATTACGGTTGATTAAATTATTTTTAACAGAAGCTCGGTTCTAAATAAAAGGCTGAAAAAATCATTAACGATCTTCATAATTAGTGTTTCCTGACATTGCTTTAAGCTTAAATGTGAGTTCGAATCCCGGGAGAGTGACAAATTGAATGTGCCTTGCCCGAAATGTACGAAAGCTGTGAGTGGATCACGTGGATTAAAAAGTAATATTTTTAAAAAAAACTTTAACGGTTTAAACGCGCTTTATAAAACTTTAATGATTTTTGCTTCACAATTTGGGATGCTTTGCAGCCGCCGGGACCCGCGACCCCCCGCCGCTCGTTAAACCAATGTTTTTGATGTGTACTACTCGTGTAACTATAGACTACGTGCTCACATGCGTAACCTTGGATAGTGTCCTACACGTGCGCGTCGAAGTTTTTTAAACCTCGTTTATTACATACACCTCTGTAATTCATGCAATTCTCGCGCAATGTACTGTCAACCTTAACACTTACATATTACTGATGTTGCATATTTTTTTGAATCTTAAGCAAATTTTAAATGTGAAATGTGTCCCACAAACAGAAACGGGATATCACTTTTGATATTGGATGGGTTCTGTATAAAAGCAAAATATCTGTGATAACCATGTGTTATCATATGTTTTACAATGCAAAACTTAAGTGAAGTCATTATAGATAAAATTGCAAATTTATGCGAAATGCTAAAATTTTGTCATTGACGATAAGAAGTTAGCTTAGTAAGAAATACTTATTATACGAATTATAAGTACGCATGTAGAGTTTCAAAAGGCCACGAAAGTACAACGTATATACGTACTATTTTTTATTATTTAGAACACATATATATTTTTCATATTTAATAGTCAAAGATACAAAGATTGTGAAAAAAAAAACATTCACTCCACTGAACATACATATCTTAAATTTTGAAATTTTTTATTTTAAGGGTATTTATTTTATTCACTACCTACCTACTCTTTCACTATATCTACTAGCTGTGCCCACGACTTCCACCGCGTAGGACAAATATTTTGAGCATCAAAATTTATTAAATATATATAATAATGATTTTTACATCCTTGAACCGTTTTTGCAGCGCACGCAACGGATGGTCTCAAAGAAAAAGATTTTCCCCGGTTTTTCCACATTTCCAATTGTTTCTTTACTCCTATTGGTCGCAGCCTGATGATTTATAGCCTAAAACCTTGCCGAATAAATGGTCCCACCAAAAAAAAATTCAATTCGAATCATAATATTAGTATAAATTCAAATACGATTTTTTAATAATCACGTTTGCCCACGCCCCAACCGGGGATTAACAAATTATCTATACTCACTTTAATAGCATCGTCAGTCGGTTGCACATTCAAAGAGTTAATAGCTTCCGTCTCCATTGCTTCAAAAGAGTTGATGTCAAACTCCTGCGCAAGAGTCGAAACTATCTTGGCATCGAGATGTACGTCTGAATCCAGGATTTGTGGTGGCTCAGTGAAGTAGCGAACCTATAAGAATACATATTTGTACTTAAATATATATTACATCTTGTAAATTTAACGTAATTCCATTAAACTTAAACATTTTTTAAGGTTTTAATTATTTTATTGATTTTAACTACGACGCGACGTTTACGTAGTTTAAATTGTTTTTTTTTTAATATTTCGCGTTTTAAACAGTTCAAAGTGTTTCATTTAAATGGGTACTACTCGCGTAAACTACAGACATTTAAGGTTAAACATACCTTTCCCGTATTCCAATCGTTGAGAAGAATCCTGGCTGCAGCCTCTTGGTCTGGGACTCCGCCCCTTTTGAATCGTCCCATACGCGATGCTAGACTCGCGTAAAATTCCTACCAACAGATTTCTTTTTATATACGAACCAGAAGGCTCCATAAAATTAGGAATCATTTTCAGAGTATACACTATATTAATAAATAGGGGACAGACACAGAGGTGAAAGGTGAAAAGTCCAGCTAAACATCTTCGATTTTCTCCAGCCAGCTTTTTGGCTTTGGATATTCGAAAATCCAGACTCAAATCGAAACGCGATTAAACTTGACAGCTTTTTGATCTGCGGACCGTAGTTCGTGAGCCGGACTGAACTTCAATGCTCTATTGGTAATAATGTATGGCTAATAATCAACAGATCCCCGGTTCGAACCCATCCATCGACCATCCTGGCCAACATGATTAGAAAAATCAATTCATAATATTCCTGAAAAGTATTGGACTTCATCTGATACTAAATGTATGGAAGGAGTATCGAATTTCATCCGGGTCCTGAATCACGGTCCAGTCGACAGTGCATCTTTTTGAGATGTTTTATGGCTGAAGTATTACACCTTATACCAAGTACCCCATGGTTATCTGATCTCTTCTTATGATACATCCTGGTAACAGACAGACAGACCATAGTTGCTAGTACCTGTGGTGTACTAAATTCCGGTATACAATACAATGCGACCAATGTATGTTTGTTCGCCCGTTGTAGTATAGCGTTCGCCGGTGTCACCGGGTCTTTCAAAGCTCCAACTCGGATGGCATTCTTTAAGGCGACAGTTGCATCCGTCTCTGATCCAGAGTGAAAGACTATACCGGGACTGTCGAGTATTTTGATTTTGGAGTCTAGTTGGACTGTTTGCATTTGTCTAAAAAAAATACATACATAAGATTCACATTGTTAGACTTATAATTGCCCCCCTCCCCCTCCTTTTTCTTTTTTTTATACTACCTAATCTGTCCAAAAACTGAAAAAGACTGGTTCCCTTTGTTACTTCACTGAATTTACTTAAAAAATAAACATTAACTTTTTTCACATCCAGAAAAAAAATTATTTTCATTTTTAAATCGAATGGTTTAAAAAGCCACCGCAGCAGTAGTCAAGGAGACGCGGCTGCTACAAAACATCCGACGCGTTAGGCTATACTTTAGAACTAATTCTAAATAAGTAAACCGTTTTGAACCGTTGAAAAAGTTTTATTTAAATGTATACTACTCACTTGACTAGTACTTCAGTATACTCACTTAGTAACACCAGGTGTACTTCCAACATTACAAGCTCGAGATCTATTAAGACTGTTGATTATGGAACTCTTTCCGACGTTAGGTAGACCGACCACACCAACTGTTATGGACGTCTTGATGCCTTTGTTGCGACAGTAGTTTCCTAGTAGACTCATTAACAATTCAGCACCAACACAGGCTGAACCTGAAAAGATAAAACATGTCTATTATAAATGTATTACATGTGGGATGGAAATTGTGTGTAAAAATAAATTAAGTAGCCAAAATATTTCGCATTTTGAACCGTTAATAGCTCATATCTTCTTTGTGTCTTAATGTGATACATTGTTCTTCGTGTCAAAGACATTATATTAGCCATCTTTCCTACCCTTCATTTCCTTTTCTTTAACTATATGCTTCATTTTCTTTCTTCCCAAATTGTGTTGCTGATCCTGAGTGGAAGCCTTAAACGGTACTGCTGGGGCAAATCTTCTGAGATACTTCAGCCATGCTGTGAGGTTCTCCCGAGGTACCAAGTCTGCCTTGTTAAGCACTATGACTAGTCGTTTGCCGGACTCGCGGACTGCTTCTTCCACCTGTGTACATCTGGTACCTGGAAATAAAGTCTTAAGTATTTTATATTGGGACAACAATTGATACCACAGCCAGCTACTCCAGCCACCAAGTTAATTAAGCAACATTGTTTTAGCAATGGCGGAGTGAAATCCTTTTACAACAAAATTAATAAATAAATTTTATGTATGTGTCTGTGGGGATACTGGATTAAATTATTCAGTTTGAATTACAATTATTAGTGTTTTACAATATTGTAAGATCTGAGAATACAGTAGTCCCATATAATTCTTCATCTAAGCTTAACGTGATAACCTATTTGAATTTAAAAAAATTGTAATAATACTTAAAAAATTGACAACAACAAAATTTATATTGTAAATGACACAGTGTTTTTTGGTCTCACTAACTCACTTTCTGTGTCCTAATTGTACAGAACTTTTAGTGCAGAAAACAGATTAGCAGGGAACCAACTTACCTAAAGGATCCCTAGCATCAACAACTTCCAATATCACCTCTGCTTCGGTTATAACCCTCTTAAACTCCCTGTAGTATGTTTTCAAAGAATTCTCTTGCTGTCTGTCTTTGCCTATATCATCACTCACATTATCGTTTGATTTGAATGCATCATGGACTTTACCTCTGGCTTCTGCATTTGCTACCTTAAATAATATGGAGAATGTATATAATAATTCTTTACATATCAAAATATGTCTTTAAACACCTGTATTATTTAAAGATACATTTTATAAATGGTTGCTTAAAAATTGTTAGTGCAGACAATTTTCTTTTAAACATAGAATGATGGACAGGCACAGGTTCACTTAATAGAAAGGAATCTACCACAACATATAACATTTAAATGAGACATTTAATCAACCCGTTTAGAACATGGATATAGACAAATTTACAAACAAAACATTAATCTTCAAAGTCAATTTTTAGAATTTTTGATACATTATTGAGCTGATGAGAATTAAAACATGGCATATGGAATATTAGCCATTCGAACAAAGAGCCTGCCACGATTACTAATTTCTATTAAGCACAAAGTATTCATTCAAGTAATTTTAAGTAACTACAGCTCTTGTTTAGCATCCAAAATGGGAATAAAAGATACAATTACTAATAAAAAGGAACATAGGAGACAAAAGTTATAACCATCTACCCATTAGAGATCCTAATGTTGTTAATTAATTATCAGTTACTTACAAGGGTATCCATATCTACATTAACATTTTTCTTTTCTTCAAGTTTCTTTTGCTTTTCAAGTTTTATTAGTTCTCGTCTCTTCTGCTTCTCTTCTTCTTTATGTTTTTTAACTGCTTCAACCTCTTTTAATATATCCTCTTTGAAAGGGCATTCGTTTGGTATCTGTATAGGTTTGTGTTTTTTTGATTTGGGCTGTTTTTTAGCCTCCTTCTTTACTTTTCTATTGTGGTCTTTGACTTTTTTTTCGATCTTGTAGCGAAGACGTGCTGGTTGACGTTTTGAAGGCTTCTCTATAATATAATAATACAATACAAGAACTTTACTACCGAATTTATAAGAAAAATATAAGTTACAAATAAAAGTATAGACAAATTATAACCTAATATTAGCGCACCAAAGTTTATTAAAACGTTTCGTAAAGCGTTCAAAGAATTTAATATTTAAATTAAGTTACTTAATACGTTATGTATGGGACCTTCGTGGTGTTAAATGTGTATTAAAAAGTTTAGTGTACTTACTCAGTTTGAATTTCGCCATTACTATCGCCTATTTAAAAAAATATAGATCACTAAAAAGCTATTCCAACTAGCTATTATACTTTCTATAAATATTTAATTTTTCGTTCATATAACAATTTGTTTTTAATACTAAAAAATCTTATTTAACACATGGCAAAAACCATAACGCAGTGCGCACATTGTTTTGAAAAGATGACATTGACATAACGATATTATGTCAACTATAGGCGCGTAACAGATTGATATTGTTACAATATTTAGCACGACATAAAACAGACTCAATAATGTAAATTATAAACATATATTTATATTCTTCAAAATATATTAATATTTGTAACTGAAACTATTTTGGATTTACCTGATAGCAACTCCTAAATATTTTTTACCCAGGAAAAAAATGTACTACCTGCGCCAGTACAGATGGCAACATTATTTCAACCCGCGAAAACCAGTTCTATATTAAACGTAAAGTTGACTGCACGTCTCTTTAACGCGTAACGTTGAACTAAACTTTCACGATTGCTCGGAGCAGCCGTGTCAAGTTATGTGCGCGGACGCACGCATGAATAACCATCATCTTTGTGGTTCATGACATTCAACAGTGCAAATGTCGCCCAGCTTAGAAGGGATCATGTTTAACAGGAACGCGAACTTGTCAGCGCGCCGGCCGTTGCTCGCGGAACCGCAAAAGCCTATTGTAGTCCCACCGCGGGCGCCACCTCGAGATTATGGCCCGCAAAGGCCTTTTCCAGCGCCTAGAAAGCTGAACGAAAACACATACGAGAACCGACCGGAATACTGGAAACCGTCGAACTTCGAACTCGAGAGACGCTTGCAGGAAAGTCGCGCCCGAGAAAAGGTCAGTTACTTCCAAGACAAAGTGACACCTCCGGAGCTGAGTTTGGATCGTCGCGAGGCCGAACTCGTGTTTCGATTCGACCCGCATGCGTCGGCTGAATATTTATCAAATCAGTATAGTGCACCTGCAGTGCAATATGCAAAGCCCACACCGCCGGCCAACGGCTTCAACCGTGTACCGGAGCGAGACGGGCCTTTTGTGTTCGGAGTTCATAGCCCGAGTCAATTCCCTCTATCCCGCCGGGATGATGACGATTACGACTATTCTGAAGTGGCGGATGAAAATAATCGCGCTGTGACAGACGATGACGACTCGGGAGACATGAATTGCTGTGATAAAATGAATGAGTGGACTGTGCGCGACAAAAAGGGTAAAAGCTCGTTAAATCGGATGTTCCAAATCAAGGATAGGAGGAAAGTGAAGTGTGGTAAGAAGGAGAAGATTAAGTGTGTTCTGGTCGGTGACGGCGAGGTTGGGAAGAGTTCGCTGATTGCGGCGTACGCCCAGGATACTTTCAGCGAGGACTATCAGCCGACGGCCTATGACACATTCAATGGTGAGTACCAATTGTGTTATCAAACAATACACTTCTATAAAACTGACGACGTAAACAACGAAAACTTTATCTTTGTAACCCTGATTTGAAGATAAATAAAGCTGATTATTTCTGACGATACATTTGTTTTTTAAACATAAACAATTACTACAGATGCTTAATATTAATTAGCGATAGTCTACTTTTAAAAAAATAATGCCACAACCCAGGGCGTTTAATCTTAGCAATATAACTTACTAAAAAACCTTTAATCGTGATTTTTCTTAATTTATAGAAATTTCTATAATTAATATTGGTTAATATTAACATTTAAATTTAAAGAAACTACTCACTGAAAAATCATAAAATAATATGATGGAATTGTTAAGTAACTAAGTCATTTTTTGTCTGACTACGTTCTCGACTCTGTTACTTAACATCCATCGACCAATAAAAGTGTGACATTTCTTATGTAACTGGAATTTAAAGAACATTTAATTTAAATTTGCAAGTTGTCCTTTGAGATTTTCGATATAGGTACTATTTTTGTCATTTGTCAAAAGTAATTGCAAAAGTTATTACTAACCATTCATTTACCGTTTTTTTAATTACTTGCAAGCTAATTATTTTCTTATCACTATTTTGTATTAATGCATTAGTAATGAATCGTTTAGTGATTTTTTTAGTGACGTCACATTCAAACCTTATCAAGAAATTGATTGATGTATTACGTTAAAATCTATTAGATAATTGCCACTTTGTTAATTAGTTGCTGGATTTTTTATTTGATAAATTATAGAAATTACATACAAACTGAAAATATTTAAACACTTTAACAGTTTAAAACGCGAAATATGTTGTGAAACTTATTTGGAAATTATTTTAACTTCGGCACGACGTTTCAGACGTTTACAGCAGTGCCAACAATAATTTGTAAACACATTTGACTAATATATTTCGCGTTTTAAACTGTTAAAGTGTACTCGCCTAATATACACAGAGACTAGGCTAGTAATGGGATGAATTTAGTATTTTAATTTTAATTATTATATTTACGCTTTCGTACCTAATATCACCCTTTGCCATAAAGGTAGGAATTATTTTTATATTCCCATGTAAAACCACGTAAGTACCTAGATGTACACGTAACATTCTTCACAAAATTTTAGTATGTACACAAGTAATGTTAGTGACGTAAAATCTCGAACTCGAAAATCTTTAGTGACGTTACACAGTTAACCGCGATTATCTAGGTCCTAGCACCTCTAGTAATTTTGTCCTATTACTAAATTAGAGCAAAGCAACAATATTTGTGGCGAATTCTATTAGATGAGGTCACTTTAGTTATGGAATATCATTTTTCAAGCTTAATCACAAAGCTAATTACGAAATGATACTACAGATTTTAATGTTTCCCAAATACACACACTGACGTCGCATACTAAATTGTAAAAATCCGTGTCAAATAAATAATTAACTAATAAGTTTTAACGATTTCAAACGAGAGATATATTAGTGTTCCGAGAGCCGTGGTCACGGGGAGACTCCGTTACTTAAAATAATTTTAATTATATCGCGTTTTAAACCGTTAAAGTGTTTCATTTAAATGTGTACCACTCGCGTAAACTACAGACAGTATTTTAAGAATTCGATTTTCAAAATTTACAGAAACATTACCAGTATAATGTTATATAAATTAGTTTTTCATTTTTTTTCCGAAAAATAACTTTGTTTTTCTGTATATACTGAAATAAAAATAATATAAAATTGCTCAACAATTATTAGTGATTTCTTATAATATACAAGTAGACCAAACCTTGATCCACAATTCCAATTCACTCCCGATATATCATCATGATAGCTTATCGCGAAACATTAGCAAAGAAATCGCCAACATTTTGCACCAAAGTACTTTTCCACACTGATAAAATGTGTAAGTCAGGTGGAATGATATTATTTATTCAGAGGTTCTTTATTTATTTGTAATCTATGTAATAAATACGTCCTAACATGTATCCTTATGGTCTAATGGTATCATGGTTTCATTTCATTTCATTCACAATATTAAATTTACTGATATTGGAGGGGTTTCCATTTCATTCTCAATATACGAATCTATTGAAGTGCTTTCTATTATATAAATCATCATTTCGGTAAATGATTGCAACATACCTGCGCGTACGCAGGTCAAAGCACCTTTTTAATATGGATCTAGTGTTAAGACACCAATTAATGTTACTGTCACCGAGTTATGAATACTGACGAGTGTGACCGGATGCCTGATCGACTTTAGATCATGCTGTGACTACTAAGTGGGTTATATAATTCAAGTAACCAAAAATTGAATGTTAAAATGTGACATCTTACCGTTTGATACATGATGTCCCTAAGTTTAAATTCGGCATGTTAAAAATCACAATTAAGTAAATTGATGAAGAAAAATATTAGTTAAGTTATTTAATTAATATTTTCGTAGCAGTTACTAGGTAGGTATGTACGTGATAAATTTCAAATAGCTTCAGTCACGTAAAAATATATTTCGCGTATAAAACCGTTAAAAATGTTTTATATACTCGCGTAAATCACAGACAGCAAGAATATATGTAATTACTTATAGTATATACACAGACTAAAATCTCACATTCTTGAAATTCCTCAATGTTCGCCATCTATGAGAGATTAAAAATATCTCAATTCCCTTTTAAACATTATCTTCGTCTGCCACCTAAGCCCTTTCTACCTTAAAACCGGTTAAGCGTAAAACAAAAGTGCTTATAATCTCTACATTGGGCTCTTTGTGTATCTCAATACCGTACCGCTCACCCGGGGGTGCCTCCCCCCCCCCCCCCAACCCCCCCCCCCCCTTGGGGGGGCCCGCGGGGCCGGGGGCCCCCCCCCCGGGGGCCCCCCCCCCCCCCCTCTTTGTGTATCTCAAACGGTCAAGCGTAAAACAAGAGCGCGAGCTCTCGCGCTCGCCCAAAACGCCCGGTTAGTATTCGGGCTCCTTAGGAACACAATAGTAATACCAAAAAAAAAAAAAAAAAGTATCTCAATACCAAGTCCTAACGGTGTTTACTATTCAGTGGCGCAGGTATAGGTTATGACGAAGTGGCGCCAGGGCACAATAAAGGACGTGATAAAATGCAGGTATTCTCTGGAACAGGGGCTTTGTGTGTAGTAAAAGGTTCTGGGTTCGGATTCCATGAGATCAATTCATTAAACATTGTGATAATATGATGTAGTCTGAAAAAATGATGAAAAATTAATTGACGCGTTGCTATGGTAACGCTTTCATGTTAGCAATTAATTTTGGAGAAGTTCATTGTTTTACTAGCTGTCCGCGTAGAAAAGTTATGTGAGCGTCAATATTTGTTTTTGCCATTCTCCTCATCTACAATTATAGAAACCCTCGAAGATGAATATTTTCTCCGTATTTTCCACATTTCGTCCTTTCGGTCACAACGTGGTGTTTTATAGCCTAAAGCCTAACTCGAATCAGTAGTGCCTGAGATTAGCGCGTTCAAACAAACAAACTCTTCAGCTAAAAAACACATTCGATTTGATTATTGATTTAGGAACTAGAGAAAATATAATTTAATAAAAAATAAATCAACACAGTAGAAATAATGTTGTACCCATAATTAGGTATTATTACCCTTCAAGAAAATCAAATACTGTCTATAGTTTATGCGAGTAGTACACATTTAAATAAAACACTTTAACGATTTAAAACGCGATACATTAGTTAAACTTATTTGAAAATGATATTTAACTTCGGCCCGACATTTCGGATGCTTTGCAGCAGCCGTGGTCACGGAGAAACGTCGGGCCGAAGTTAAAAATTTTCAAATAAGTTTAACTAACGTATCGCGTTTTAAACCGTTAAAGTGCTTTATTTAAATTGAAGGAAATCTTCGAAATCATATTTTTTATAGTTATATAAAAGCTATATAAATTACGAAGTGTGAAAGCCACGTTTTGAACCGCACTTTCGCCGTTGCTTGCGAATATGTACTTCCTCCATACTATTCAGTGTTGCGTACGAGATGATTATTCGTCGTAAGTACGTGATGTTACAGGGTCTTGTTACACTATGTGCCAATGTGAATAGATAATTGTTACTAACGCCTTCAGTCAGAGTCTCATTTAGTTGGTGTTGTTTGAATTTTTTAAGTACCCACGTTTAAAACTTGGACTATTATCAACTAATAAATAAATCTTTATGAAAGAAGAAGTATTGTCTGTAGTTAACAATAGTAGTCACTCAAATCAATTAAGCATTTTTGACGGTTTAAAACGTGACCATGTCTGCTGTTATGCATCTAAATTTGAAATCTACTAGCTATTAGGTCGCCACAATTGACAAAAGTTTCTCGAACTTTGTGCATGATTTTATCAAATGTTGAGCCAGCTTTTAATATACAAAAGAAATTTTTATTATTTATCATTAATTTTTATTTATTTACGCGAATTTGTACAAAATTACATTAAGTTAATATATAACTAAAAATGATGTGTAATTAACTATTTCAGACTTAAGTAACTATGTCAGTACAAATATATATTATACAACTATGAATCTTCATATCTATACATATAATTGAATAAACAATGATTTAAAGAAATGTATTTACTAAAAAAAGCATTAAAATCTATTTCAGCCATATTTTATTGTCCATTATCAAACACATATTACACTTAGATCTAATAACACGAATCTTGTTAATTTAGGTCAAGAACGAATTCAAGTGCAAGGAACATGCAACGCTATTGCATTGCATGCCTCGTTTGAAAAACTTGTTGCCATATGTTTTCCGAAGGCATTGACATGAAGCCATATGGAGCTGATGCTTAGCCACGACGTGTTAATACTTCAATAGTTCGCGTGGTTAACTTTGTTACTTCGTACATTGTAGTATGAGATGTTTGTTGATAATTTTAGAAATTGTTTATCATTATTAGGTGTTCATATAACAAACTAGCTGTGTCAGCGACTTCGTCCGCATAGAATAGTTGTTTTG